GGACACTGAGCTGTTGACTGCAACTCTTTTAGTGCGACCCTCCAGTCAATTCCTCACCCGCTGAGTGGCCCATCCATCAAATCTGTATCTCTCCAGTTTGGAGTCAAGGATGTCATGTGGGACAGTGTCAAATGCTTTGCACAAGTCCAGGTAGATGGCGTCATTTGCTCCTCCCTTATCCACCCATGCTGTAACCCCGTGGTAGAAGGCCACCAAATTTGTCAGGCATGATTTGTCCTTAGTGAAGCCCTGTTGGCTGTCACCAATCATCTCCTTATTTTCCATGTGTCTATGCATAGTTACCAGGAGGATCTGCTCCATGATCTTGCCAGGCACAGAGCTGAGACTGACTGACCTGTAGTTCCCTGGGTCTTCCTTTTTTCCCTTCTTAAAGATGGGAGTTATGCTTCCCATTTTCCAGTCAGCTGAAACTTCCCCAGACTGCGACAACTTCTCAAATTTGATGGATAGTGGCTTAGCCACTTCATCCACCAGTTCCCTCAGGACCTGCAGATGCATCTCATCACATCCCATGGGATTGTGCACCTTCAGGTCACCTTCAGGTTCCTCTGATGGTCTTGAACCTGATCTCCTACAGTGGGTGGTTCTTCATTCTCCCAGTCCCTGCCTTTGCCTTCTGTGACTTGGGTGGTGTGGCTGGAGCACTTGCTGGTGAAGGCAAAAAAGTCATTGAGTACCTCAGCCTTCTCCATGTCCCAAGTAACCAGGTCTTCTGTTTCCTTCAGAGAGGGCCCACATTTTCCCTAGTCTTCCTTTTCTCTCCAACGTACCTATAGAAACTTTTCTTGTTGCCCTTGGTGTCCCTGGCCAGATTTAATTCTATCAGGGCTTTAGCTTTCCTATAACGTGATCCCTGGCTGCTTGGACAATTTCTCTGTGTTCCTCCCAGGCTTCCTGTCCTTGCTTCCACCCTCTGGAGACTTCCTTTTTGTGACTGAGTTTGTCCAGGAGCTCCTTGTTCACCTATGCAGGCCCCCTGATGTTTTTTTCACACTGAATAATATTATGCTGAGCAATACATTGCTATGCTTTCTAAGTTAGAGATTTTTCAGGACAGGTTTTTTGTTGTAAAGTCCTGAGCTTGCATCTATGCAGATGCTTAATAAAGTCTGTCAGAATGATTTTTGGCTAGACAGGGAGATGGCACTATTCCTCTGAAGTAAAAGGGAAGTAGAGATTGATGGTTTTGCTTTACTGTTAGCATATCATCCTTAGGTGGTTTAATAGTGAATTGAAGACTTTTTTATTTTTTTCTAGTTTTGATTTTATCATACCTACTTTTCTTTTATCAGCTGAGGATAGAGATTTCACTCTGTCCTTTGATTTGTCAAGTGAGATTTTTTTGTTTAGCAATTTTGCATTGTTTACTCTGAGTCTCTGATAGTAATTTATCTGTACTAACCTGAATGTTTTGTGCTTACATATAGTGCCACTAGGTCTGCCTGTCTTCTTGCATTAAATATTTTCTTTAATTAATACATAATTTTTCTCTTTGTTTTTCCTAAATTTGAAGGGAAATAAAGGTTTTTTTTATTTTTAAGTGAATAAGAATGAACATACTGTGAGAGGCAAGTATAGAGCTCAGCTCCATATCTTTTCTGTTAACAGAAACAAAATAAATAGTGACAAGGACTGTGGAACTCCTGTGCAGCTCCCTCAGAAGGACAAAAAAAAGAGAGGATATTGTGAATGTTGCGGGGAGAAATATGAAGATCTGCAAACTGTATGTGAAATTTCAAGTGTATGGTTTGATACAGTCATAGCTTTTCAGTGCGGTGTCAACAGTGGTTTCTACTTGCTAGTTTAATGTATTTTTTTTATCTTATATTCAGAAAATCTTTTATCTCCTAAAAAGCAGCAAGTGGATATTTTTTCCATTTAATTTCATTTTAATTCTTGATTGCTGTTTCTGTGTATGATAGCTGAAGGCACTAGCGGTTCATGTCTCAGAGACACTGCTAACAAATTAATGATATTTATGTACTGCTTCATATCATACTGTTGACTTGTATATTCATATCTGTAGTATTAGATTTGTTTCATGTGTTTTCTTTAATTCCAGCATCTTGAAAGTGAACAGCACCAAAATTTTGCAAAAAGCACACAGTATCAAGTTGTTGATGATATAATATCAAAGTTTGTTTATGAGTTTGTCGAATACAAAGATGATGCAAAAAAAGTAAAAAGGTAAGTTACATGTTCTAAATTTTAAAGATTGTGTGAGTTAAGACGTTGAACATAAAGATGCTTACTTCTGAAATTCTGGATCTTGTACAGAATAAATCCATATTTTTCAGTCTGAAATAAAGCACTGAAACTTGCAATGCAGTTGTACCTGGCAAATTAGTTCTATAAAGCAGAAATTAGAGTGGAGGGGGGGGGTAGGGGGGAGTGGAATTAAAAGTGCAGATGGCATCACACGAAAATGAGACTGAAAGGAATTACCAAAAGTTGTCCTACCTATCCTTCAGCTTCAGAAAAGCAAGATGTACTGTACTAACATATTGCTGACAGAAGGACAGGAATGTCTGGACATCTTGCTCTAAAAACTTTCTGTCATTCTTAGCCTAAGAACAGCAAATTACTTCCTAGTCAGTCAGTTTGATCTCCTTACCAGTGGAAAAACTTTTCCTAGTCTAATCTATACCTTCCTATCTGTACTCTAAGTCTCTCAACTTCAGTCCTGCCTGTGCTGAACAAGGAAAGCAGATTTTCCTTTCTTCTTTGTAGCTCAAAAGCTTAAATGGGCAAGAGAGACTTGCTTCATGTCTTGGACTGTAGGCACCAGTGTCTTCCGTACTTGGAACAGTAACTCAATTCAAGATTGCTGTGATTTTTTGCAAATGAGTCAGGGCATAAGGAATAACATTCTCATTTAATTTAGAAAAAAAAAAATTGAAGAAATAAAGATATTCTTAGTGAAATCAAAGGAAATACAAATAGAGTTAAACAAGTGATAGCCTAATGAAGGCAAGCCTTTATTCCTTTCGTGATTTGAAAATAGTCAGAGTGGTTAGGTTTGAAATACTGTGTCAAGAAAATCATATATAATTATGCTAATTCTGTATATATGAAATAGACTATTTGTCAGTATTTATAGTCATTGCATTATATTTATTAACTTCTTTTGTTCTTAATACCACTGTGAATTGAGATTTACTAAAAACGTAGACTACTCTGTGTTTTTAAAACAATTTTACGAGCTGTAGAAATCAATAAGAAAACATCAAATTCAAATATAAGGCACTCTGTTCCTGTAGAAACCATGTGTTACTACCCTAAATACATCTTTCCTTTAAAAGTAAAAACAAAAATTGCTTTGCCAGTTCTGTTGCTTTTCTAGAATCAGTTGCATGTGGAGTTATGTTACCCATGTTTTTTTCAAGTGTTTGTTAACAATTTTAAACAATTTCATTGTAGGACAAAATGTAGTACAGGATATTTTTCTCCTATTATTGGAAAGATAACTAGACCAGATGAGCTGAAAGAACGACTGAAAAAGCAACGCGTTTCACTGAAAAGTTACTCGTGGAAGGATACGGCAATGCGGGCACTCAAACTGGATCGCCAGCCTGCAGAAGTACAACCAAATTCTATGCCAATACCTACCCCTATCTCTGAATCTGCCTGTTCAGTTCTTTATTGTCACCTATCACAACCTTCAGAACTAAAAAGTAAGTTCAGAAATAATGATGAAAATGTTAAAACTGACTGCTCCTATGCTGCAAACTTAAGAGCGACTGTTGTATCATCAAATTTCATACAACCACCCCCTCAGAAAGGTGACAAAGCATACAGGGAGAACTTGTCTCGAGCTTATGAGCAGTTCAGTAAAGAAATACTGGAACCAGAAGTAAATAAAAAGAATTTACAGTATTTTCAGGAAGGCATGTGTACTTTATATTCTCATACTCAAGTTACAGATTTTAGTGAAAAAGACAAAAACTTACCACAGCCAAAACGAAAATTAAATAACACAGTAGTTCTACCAGCAAAGTGTTTGAAAAAAACAGATGCCAATCCTACATTTGTCAAGAAACATCGTGATTTATGTGATAATCATCAACAGATGCAGCACAATGTAGTTCTGGGGGCTGAGGTATCTAATACTGCTATAAACAAAGAACTTAATGAATTGACTGCCAGCACTGCACACAGTTCGCCATCTGGAAAGCTGCACAGAAAAGTGAAGGTTTACTTGGGAAGAAATAAAAGAGAAACCCGGAAACAAAATATGGAGTTATGCGTAAAGTATACAGATGGACTGTCTGTTCCTGAAGAGAAGAGAAGTTCTTGTAGCTCACCAGTGCAGGCCCTACTGGAATTATTTCAGACAAGTGAAAGAAACTCAGAATTTGGAGGTTTTTCAGGTTACACAGAGGACAAAGGTTCAACTAGCATGAAAGATACATGGGAAGGGCAGAATACAAATGTTATGTGGTCATTATTTTCCTCTTCATCCTCGTCCCCATTTGTTGGATTTTAATGCTGCATTATTTAATATAATGATTTTCAAATAAACTTGCAAATTTAAGATTTTATTCTTGGAAACTTTAATTGCTGTATTATATGTACGGATGGCTTGGTTTTCAAATTTTTTTAAATACAAAAACTTCTGTATATGTAAATATGAAAAATAAAACTAAGGTGTTTTGGGGTTGAGGTTTTTTGGTTTGGTTTTATTTTTTTGTTAAAGTGTACTGCTTTATCACAGCTAGTAAAAGGCTCTGACCCCAGATCTGGGATTAAATTAATTGCTAGGCAAAACCAGTAAGCATGATGTAGCTGCATTTGGATAGAATAATTTTGTAAAATCGGTGATTAAGGTACATTCTAAATAACCACATTGTAAATAACTGGATGTTCCATTGTAAGTAAGGCAGTCCATGACTTAACGGACTACTGATGTTTTGTGGAGATTTGCTTGCTTCCCTTCCTGTTCCTTCTGCTGCTGCTTTATTAGCGAATGCAAAAAAAAAAAAAAAGTCATTTGCTTTCCTAATATTTCTTCTGCTTAAATTGTCTTGGGGAACCTATGTAATCACAAAGAAACAGGATTAGGAAAGCATGTATTATATTTTTTGACTACTCTGACATAATTTATTTTTAGACTAAAACTAACTGTGTTGTGTATTTCAGCCAACAGGAAGCAGTAGATGTATACTTTAATTTTTCTTTAAAAAAACCCCAAACACAACAACAACAGAGCACAAAACAGTCAATAGGTTTCTGATTGACCCAGGTAATTTTCTGATTTTTCTTTCAGAGTAGCCAGCCTGTCTGCCCAGCTTACTTAGGCAGAGTGAAAATTGGAAAGACTTTTTTAATACTCTGAATCTTTACCAGAGCTGATCTCTCAGAATTTCCATATCTGTAAATCAGTGCAGAGCATAAGTATGGAATTGCAGGAGGTAATTGCAAAGCATTACTAATAAATGTAAGTGCCTTAAGGTCATATAAGAGATGTAAACCAGCAGAAATTACTCTCATTAATTTTTGCATAAATTACTTGTTTGCATTTTTCTCTTGCCCATTTAATGTTCTCAAACTTACTCAGTCAGAGTTCTTATGGTTAAAGTGCTTTCAGTCGTTGCATACTATTGTCTGTCATTTATAGGATATTCTCTATGAGAGGTAGGTAAAGCTTCTTGATGTGCAGGAATGGGTGAGGAAAATAACATAAAATTACTTTTCCTTACAGAGCATAGGAATTGAAAGCTTAACGATGAAAGGAGCTGCTTAGGGTGTTGCTGTCACCTGAAAGGTGATGTTCCTGATTCCACTGTTCATGTAATTGCATGTGCAGTCTGGTAAAAAACTGCTTTTGGTCTCTCCGTGGTCACTTCTGGCTTGAATGATAGTTTCTTCTGATCTGGATTCACATCAAGAAAATTACATAGAAAGTCATTACAGAAATGAGCAAAAGTAATATTTTAAAAAGGAGTTGATCTTCAATATGTTTGTCTATACATATATTTTTTTATTTTTTTTTGCCTGTAGCTTACCAATATGTAGTGTTTCAGGAATGGGGCTTTAAAGTAGAACATTGAAGCAATTACTTTGTTCTTCATTATGAGTGATGCTTTAATGACAGAAGGATTGCTCTCTGATTTGATGAAGGCAATCTATTTTAGGAACAAGTGTCCATTTTTCTTTTGAGAATGTTTTTGTTTGTGGGTTTGGTTTTTTTTGTTTTGTGTGGGGTTTTGGGGTTCTGTTTGGTTTATTGGGGTTTTTTTTTAGCTTTTGATTCAGTACTAAAGTCAAGTCTAAGAAAAACTTGCATTTTTCTTTGTAACACGTTGCAATGATCTGTTAGTAGGTATCTCTTACAGACATCTCCCTCCTCCCATCCCTGAGACATACACTCTTCTTAGTCGGTATGGTGGCCTCCACCCGAAAGTAAAGTATATGCATGGTTCTTTGTATACATAAGGATTATTGCAATAGTTAAATCTTAAGGAGAGAGGTAGTTGACAGTAAATCTACTCATCAGATAACCAATGTGTATGTTTTGCGTATGATTAGATGCAATATTAGAACATACCAGCTCAACATGCACTGCAAAGAGGAGATTTAAACACATTGGGATCTGGCTTTAGAATCTTAAAGGAAAAAAATTTGGAGATTTGTCATTCAAATATGAAGACTACACATTGTAATGCAGAACAAGATAGGACAGCCACTGCTACTGGTTGCAAAAAGTACTTTTAGTCATGATGCAGATGTTGTTTACAGATGCCCAGTCACATTAGTGTGTGCTAAGAGTCAGTCCCCTTTGTATATAGTATGTTCAGATAGTGTCACAAGCCACAGTAGGCCTATTAACTATTTCTAAAACAGATTTATTCAGCATGTTGTGTGTGATTTTCATGCATTTATTATCTTTTAAGCTTGTTTTTTTAAAAAAAAGTTTTTAAAAAAATTTAAAAATAATTATATTACTATTTGAAAAAATAATTAAATATGGAAGACTAGTTGTTAGAACATAGGTCCATCTCTCTGACTTCCAGAGAAGAGAATGAGTATTTTCAAAACATGTGGCAGGGAGTCTGAGAAATGTCAAACAGTTCAGACAAGCGCTACCACAAGTACCTCTGTAGTCACTAGAACAAAGGTTTGTCATTAGAAGTGCATTTTATCTGTAAGTACATCTTTGTGATAATTAAATATTATATAATTGCAGTTTGAACTCCTTCATAGGTACATACATTTCTTCTAATGCACTTCATTTTTTTTTTTTTATTGTCTTGCTTTCTGTG